GATAAACTCTAAAGAAGTTAGCAGGTAGCATATGAAAACTACCTCTAAATAACAACTGCTGACTTATAGCGACTAGTATGCCCTTTGTGTTTTACTAAAAGCTATTGTGTTTTTACAAAAAATGTGTTTGGATTTTTGGTACAGATGATTGTCGAAAAAGATATTTTATTAATTCTATTCTATTTATTTATCTAGTTCTTTTAATACTTAATAGTTATAGGAGTTATATTAACTATTAGTATATTAATTTTTGTTATAAAAATAGAATTTTGTTATACATCCTTTACTCCATACTACATATATTCTTCAACTATCAAAAATTCTTTTTGCTAAACTTAAAAATAAATATAACAATAAATATAATAAGTTGTATTATAATAGTAGTAAATTAATAACTAAGTACTCTTTTGCAAAGATATTTAAGTTAGTATTTGCTACAACCTAAATTGTTGTATAGTTTTAAAAAACTTTATATATTTAATGAAAGATATATAAATAGATAAGAAAAGATTAAATGGATCAAAGAAAGTAAAGAATGAATGAAAGTATAAATTGAACAACTTATATAATCATATAATCAATCAGAATTGTAAAAATAAATCAAAATATAAGGTGGCATAAAAAAGATCAGATACAAAGATACTGTGATCTCTGATATATAAATATGATAATTAATTAAAAATAGTTAAAAAGTCTATTAAAATAATAACAAAGGAATAGTTAAAGTATAAATCACATAAATAGTAAAATGTAAATAAAAAATTCAACAGTCTTTTGACTAGAAAAATTGAGTAATAAACAAATAATTAAAGTAAATACCTACAAAATAGTGTGTTGAATATCATTGTTTAAAAAGGTGTGTGTATTTCAAGTGCTAAGTGAGACTTGAAGAGTAATAAACCATCCGGATAGATAACAGTTATTTCAGTAATTGTTTAAGAACATGCTATTTATTATGTAATATTTTTTACTTAGTAGCTACCTCCATCCATATATGGTTTACTTTATCTAATTTTAATTGGTTAATATCATCTGTAAATATAATTACTATCTCTGACTATGTATTTATGGTAAAAATCACATGATAAATAGCATGCCTCTTAGCTTTTTGACAGTAATTGCCAATGCTTTTAGAACTATAAAAATCTGGCTATTTAATTCTAAAGCAATTAATTTTGCCTATTTAATTCCTTATTAGTAACTAAATAACTTGATTTGTCTTTGTCTTAGCAACAAATCCAACAAGCCAATAATATATCTCAGATATTTCAACAAACTTTTCATATATCCTACTTTAAAGAAAAAATTTAAATCTCTTAAAAAAGAGATAAAGTTGCTTAAAAAAGGAAATATATCATTAAAGTAAAATAATTTATTAATACAAAAAGAATTAGATACTTTTAAAAATCCTAGTACTTGCCTACTAAAGCTTGCATTAAAATATCCTGCTCAACCTCTTCAAACCTCTAGTGAATTAGAGACCAGTGATATCTTAGCTCAACTACCAAAAAAAAGAAAAACCTTACTCTTTGCTTGACTTCTTACTAATAAAACTTTGTTGCAGAAATTAAAAAAGGTGGATAAAGAAAGTTGAAAATATGAAACATAAAAAAGAGGAAGCTCTTTGTAAAAAAGAAGAGACTCTTCAAAAGCAAGCCAAACAAGAACTGAAAAAAGCACAAAAAAAAAAGATCATAAAGCAAAAAAAGAATAAATATTTAAACATTGGCTATGTTCAATTTTATGTTCTCTGATTGGCTATTTGCATTCTCAATATCGATTTTATGTCAATCCGTTGATCCCACCACTTTACCCTCCAAGGATTGAAATTATTTAGCACTGGTAAAAGTTATGCAATAAAAAATCATTTACGCTTTTTCTTTTACTAAAACTTTCTTGAAAACAAAGATTTTATGATATTAAAATAAAAATTGCAATTAGTAATATTTTTAATAAATTTTTATTATTAGCGAATTTTGATAATTTTAAATCCGCCGAATTACTTTATATGTTGTACGTCGGAATTGAGTTATTGTAGATTTAGAATCCACCTAGGTTGATTCTGAATAAACATAGATTGTAATAGAATTCTAAAATGTGCCCAAGTCGTTATAGAATTCCAATTCAACTTACAACAAAACTATGTGTATTCCAAATTATTTCATCGAGTATGTTGTTTTGAAACTTAAATTACTGTACTTTAAGATAGGATTTATTCAGCATTGCAAATTAATTAAATTTAAAAGCACGACACGAAGTTTTTTATCTATGATAGTGGGATACAACTATTCCTACAGGGTGGATTTATTTTTTACATTTACAACGATTTTTTCTCATGCATAATAGATGCTTTTCGAATGCTTATGAGCATTGAAAGAATAATATTTCAATCGCGTATTGCAAATGTATTTTGCCAAATAACGATTTTTCGCATCCCCGATTGTTGTATTTGCTGAATCTTGTAAAACCTTAATGTCTTCATACAAGATTTTATATTGCCTATTTCCGACTCATTATGAAAATATTTGGAAAGCAATTCTTTGAATGGATAATCTTAAATTCGGTTATCAGGTAGAGAGAGTTGCAAATATGAAAAAGTGAATAAAAAAAGAAATAATAAAAGATTTATCAGAATTAAATCAACTTAAGTTGCTATTGAATTTATCGGTTATATAGTATCAAGTATGGAATCGACTTAAGTTGCTTTTAAATTTCGTATCAACTTGGACTAAATTTGGGATTCCGTTCTAAGTGGATTCTAAATCTATAGTCTTAAAAGACTATTATAACTCGGATGTCTTTTTTTGTAAGTTTATATATAAAATATGTAACATAAGGCAAAACAAATACAGTATTAAAAGCTTACTATATTAATAATGTTCTTTTTTTACACACAACTGGCATTATACATATAACTACAATTTTCCAAAACTGTTGATCTATTTTCGATTGTTAAACAAATCCAAAATAATACGTATTAGTATAAACACTGGAAACTTTATAACCACTATAAATTACACAACAATCCCGGCAGTATCTAAGGTTTGATAAAAGCGATAAATCATTATACTTGATTATCTCAACGTTAATTATTTTTTAATATGATATATATTAATAAATTAGTTATTATATATATATATAATTTTGTAAGCAAAAATGAATGAATGTGAAATTATTATACAGATTAAAAAATAAAAAATTAGCTTCAATATTAATAACAAATATATATTATATATATAACAAATATTATTTCTCTTAAACGCAACCAACATAAAATTATTTCCCTTGCACCCTTACTTTTTCCCCTCATTTTCACCGCTTTCAGGGTTTACAAAAATTCTGATCTGTCCAACTATTCCCTTTACCTCCTTCAGTTCTCCAATTACATCAGATTTTACCTCTTTCAATTCATTTCTAATGAATTCAGAATTAACATCATCCATTGCAGCTTCATATAACTGTCGTCTCCATCCTGTAATGGAATCTAAGTGACTTTCATAGTATATTAAATGAGGAAACCATTCTGCATGATTACGTTGTGCAGGGGTAATTGAATATAATTCGATTTCTGAAATTAGTTGGGCTCGTTGTCGTAGCCAAGCTTGGCGACCATTTTTAAGGGATCCATTGAATACTTCGACAATTAAACCTATAGGAGAAAAAATCATTATAAGAAACTTGAGCAAAAACAAAAAAAGCCTAAAAAGTGAACATTAGCTTACCGATAAGTACATTCAACAATATAATCACAGTTATAAAGTCTATTAAGTGAATATATATATATATATTAGCGCTTTCCAAAAACATAATGTAACAAATTTCTTTAATCAACTTACTGAACAGTAACACCATGAAAAGTATTGCCCAATCTGGGTCAAAGACATTTACGGTTTCCCATCCGACACCCAAAAATTTGTATGTAGAAAATATTGCCCACGGAAAAGTTGTCCACCACAAATTTGGCGGTTGGCTGATATCTAAGTTACCAATTACATCACCAGATGATGAGTTCGTTAAATTACCATTATAATGTGGGATCCCTTCAGATTGTTTATCTCGAAGAAGGACAAACAATGCGTTCGCAAAGCCCTGGTTGTGGAAAAGACGGTTTGTTATGAATATATATATATATTTTAAATTTGCAAACATCAAGAATTGGAATTTGCGATAAGCCACTTACCACAACCATGAATGCTAAAGTTAAAACCAATGTTCTAATTTTTCTTATAATTTCTAAAACTATAGAAATAAATTTTCCTGGACCAGAAAATGCGCGTGATAAAAAGAGCTAAAAAAAAAAAAAAAACTAGAAAAATTAGTTAACTCGAAAAGAGACGTTCCATCAAATTTTTTAAAACCAATACAAACCGCATTGAGCCAAACTAATAAAACTGCATAACTTTTTAATATATCACTTGGTTCATGTTTACTAATTGCATACCAACAAGTAATTAACGGAAGACTAAAACTTGCTAGATCCAAATAATTAGAAACGTTCGTCCAATAGTTTTTCCATTGACCAAGCATTTGACGAAGTTCTTGAATCAAGAAGTATAACGCAAAGGCTATCACGAAGGCGAATAAGGGCATTTTCCAATTGGCATTGTCGTCTGGTACCAGTACAGGATCGATGCTGACAGTTATACAGAATAGAACCGCGTATATTAAGTAGGCACAGAACGTCCATAAGAATCTCCTGCGTGCATATTTTTCCCTATTATATTAAAAAAACAAACAAGTATTATAAAACGTTTGAAAACAATCAAAATGCTAACGTAACGTTATGGAATTTACCATTTGAATTCGATAATGGCCTCCATAGCAACTTCACTAAACATTTCCAATGGTCCATGTATTGCGGCTTCAGCAAAAGAACTAAGTCTCGTTGGCGAAACGTATGTTGCCCAAAATCTTTTTATGCGTTCACCAATAGAAGCTTTACTATTAATTTTAGGTGGTTCAGGGTAAACGCAAAAATCTGGCAGTGGAACAACGCAAAGCTTCGCCGGATGAGATCTCTGAGCTTTATTTAATCGTTGTTTACGCTGACGTCTTCGAGAAACACGAATTTGTTGGAAATCTTTTTTATTTTCGCTCAAGATATTTATAGTAAATTCTGACGAGCCAGCGTTGAGAACTTTGAGTTTTTCAGATGATACAAAGCTGGCAGTAGTGGCAGTGGCAGTGGTTGTTGATATGGAGGTCATAGTTTTCTTTTTTTGGGAGAATATGTTATAACATAAAAGCTTGGAAGCTATTATCCTCAATATTGAATCACCAGCAACCTTATATTCTTTTGGTAGCCGGGCTTTCCCAGAGACAGTTTTTAACCCTGAATGATAGCTCCTTTCTTCGACTTTTAATGGATTTCCTAAATTAGTTCTCAAAATTCGAGTGGGAGTTTCCAATGAAGTTGTAAGGTAACTCCATTCTCTCATTATTTTAGTACCTTTATCCGGATAAAGTCGGTATAAATCTAACAATGCAGCTCCGACTGTCCATGCAAATCCGGGTTGTTGAACCTTCGTATTTGAAGTGCCTGATGATGATAGAATAGATGATGACGCTGATGATGGTTTCGATCTACTATTTGGTAGTGTATTACGATCATGTACGTGACGTATTATATAAGAGATCAATTGATCGAGAAGGTCGGATTTTTGAAGCTCAATCAACAAAGCTAAGGCACTTTCAGTTCGTTCGTCATTATGAAATAGTGGAATATATCGTTCTTTATTTAAAATTGTAGTAACCACGTCATTCCATTCAAATAATATAAAGTCTTCCATGGGATATATATATTGTCCATCGCCTAAAGATATTTTGTTAATTGACGAAGAGAATTTATCTATTGAACTTAAAATTAATTTTTTTAATTGAACACAAATATCCCAATGCGAGGCATATGATACATCTTCATTAAGACATAGACGTATAAGGTGTATAGACGCGCACGCATCTTTGAAAATCTGATGCGTATTTTTATCATCTGCCGCTGGAAGTGGAAGAATTATTGTTTCAGAATTTGTGAGTTGTATTTTAAGACGATAAAGTGGCTCAAAATCATCATCATCATCATTTTCGTCTTGCAGAGTTTCCAAAGATAAAAACTTGATATCAACATTTTTATAAAGTGGAACCGTCCACATGTATTGTAATTCAACTTTCAGAAGTGAACCTTTTGCATTTGGTTTCGTCCTGTATATCTGAACACTATCGTGCCCTGCCAATAAAATTCGATTTCCATCATTATCCAGCCACTTCATGAATAAATCGGCAGTTCCCCACTTCCTCCAAGGTTCAAATTTAAATTTACAAAATATTTTTTCTTTTTTATGAATATAAATTGAACATATAGAGTATCCGTAGAAACTTGATTCGAGCAAAGAACCTAATTCATACTTTTTACTTGGAAGTTTACAATCTCTTTCAGTAGATAGTATTTCTGTGTTTACTTGATAACCTTTAAACTTATTCTCATTAGGAAATAAAGGGTACTTGACAATTTCATTTTTAATCGCATGGACAAATTGATCATCGAGTAAAGCGAGAGGTAGATCCTTGTCAAGGTTTGGATGATTTTCTTCTTCTTTAATCAATACTCCACTCCAACAATCCCATAATTGAACTCTAACATTGCCACTGTCCGTTGAACAAACAACTATTTGATCATGATTGCTCAGGAATGCAATAAAGAATACTGTCTTTGGAGTGCTGATTTCTGTTGTTCTTAAGCCTGTTGGTGTATGAAATATCACCGTGCTTACCACTCCATGCTTATCAGAGAATCTAATATTAAAAATAATATATGGATTCTCTTTTAATTTTATATATATATTTTTAATTAATAAAATAATTTTAAAATTTGTACAGTAATTATTTACCTTGCTATCAATTCTCCTGATTCAGAGATGGCGTAAAGACAATCTTTAGGTGAGGAGTTTTTGGGATCTATATAGAACCATTGTTTTAACACCCCATCCAAATCCCAAATACTTAAACCATTATTCTCTGGCCAAAGCATGTAGCCTGAGCCAGTTCTTAAACTGACTGAAAGCATATCGTAACAATCTAATAAAAATAAATTACTTTCATGACTATATTCAGGAACGGATTTGATTAATTCAGACAAGTCAACAATATAAATAGGTATTCCCAATTTTGTGGTGCATATATATAAATGTTGTCTGGTAATGAAGACAAATTTTGAATCATTAATAAACAATAAAGGGCCTAACATTTCAAGATTCTCAAGGGAATTTAACCCATCAGAAATATGAGGGAGTTCTGGAATCGTTGAATAAACAGCAAAAGATGTTTGGGGCGTGACAAATGATTTTACAGTATCTGGCGCACTTAAACCCAAATTTATAGCGGATTCCATATCTGGTGATTCTTCAACAGCAACACTTTTCAGTCTTGAAATGGCAACATAATGTCCATTTTCAGAAACCGAGAGATGAATTCTTGAATCTTGAATGTTAAATTTATTGAAACTGGTTTTTACGGTGAATTTTAAATGAATATCATCACCGCTCTCATTATTTACCAGAGACCAAACCGCTAAAATTCCATCATCTTCACACCAACCAGCAATAAAATTATTTCCAGGTGATAAAGCTATTTTGCTAATTTTATTCACTACAACAGATTCTGATTTTATTTCAATAGACGTCTGATCTTCTTTTGAAATTTTATCAAGAGACGTTACTGATTCAGCAAGCTTTTCGTATACTAAAGGTGTTCCCGTGTAATGATGTGTGATATATTTCTTATTCTTATTGGGTAATTCACCCAATGCATCCTTCAATTCGTCTTTTACTTCATCCATATCAATTTGACCATCTGAAGGCATTATAGGCGATATATCCGATTCTTCTATTAAATCTTGATTATTTTCCGTATCTTCCATGTCTCTTTTGGCTGATGTTTTGATGATGGATGGTCTTTTGTTGTTCAATTTGATGGAAATGAATTATATCCGTTATTTTACAATCTCGTTACGATGAATTCTTTTTTTTTTTTGTTTTGAAACAGCTCCACATGTTCGATATTTATATTTTTCCCCATTTGTGAAATGGTTAATACATGTACAAATAAATAATCCGTTTTATGCAGTACGTAGTAATGCAAGATTACAATTATGAATATAAAAGTAGAATTTTTATCGGATAATAAATGCCGATTCCGTTTTGAAAAAAAATGATTTTCTTGAATATATTTTTTCGTGGTCAGTGCTTCGAATCATATATTTTTTTTAAACCTCTAAATAGAGTAATTTTTCAAAAACAAAATCCATATGATGAAACAAATGACTCAAATAATCCGAATGAATTCTTATAATAGTTATACGTACTGTGGTATTAATTCCTATTTTGGTTTGGTAGAGAGCTTTTCAATAAAATATGGTTTAAATATAAGATTTTCATTGCTAACTTTATTTAATAATTCGTTTCCGTAGTAAAGTTAATCACTAAAACACAATATGATTTTATTCATTACTATATATTTAAATTTGAATGGTTTGGTTTACTCAATTTTTATTAGTAATATTATTCAATTTCTATATTTGACGGTTTGAATGTTAATATTAAAATTAATATAATGAATAATAGTTTAATAATATACAGTATATTCTTTTAAATATATTTATAAAGCATCTGTAAAGCATTTATAAATCATTATAAATCATTATAAATCATTTATAAATCATTTAGAGAGTTACTTTAATAAATTCACTCTGAATGCAAAAAACTTATAGACTCCACGTAAATCAAAGACGGCTGTTCTTGCTCTAAATACGTTAAATCAAGGCTTCACGATTGTCACGTGTTTAGCCAACATATTATGGGCTTTTAAATGTATCTAGAAATCAAAATTTTCTTTTCAAAAACCTTAAGCAGTCAATAATCCTAATAGCGATTTCCTAAATAGCATCTTATGACGGATAAATTTGGTGAAATTGTTTAATATATAGCGTTCCCATGATCGTTACGATAAACAATTCATAAATTGAACACAATATAATAATTGTTCTTATTAAACAATTTTGGTTAATGCAGTTATTTGTAAAGTTTAATTTCATCATAAGCTTAACTCCACTCCTATTATAATAAAGTGCTAACTTAAAATAGATTTCTCATATTTTAAAGAAGCCAGTTAAAATCCGGATTATTCATTATCAGTTGTTATTCACCCCTTATTATAGTCTATCATGAGTTATGCATAAGACCATGCGTAAAAACAAAATCTCAGAAGCGACGATTATATAACCACGATTACATAACTCTAAATGTAGAAGTGATTCAGAACCCTTTTACCCTGCTACCTTATTTATGTTATAATTACACACGTGACATCGGAGTTTGCATTCCGATGAGATTTGTGTTCATACCTCATAAATATATGGAATGCCATTTTTGATATTTAAGAACAATAATTCCATATATGCAGGTCAATGAATTTGAATCATCATTATTGGTGCTTCCACGTTCTTGAAAATCTAAAATCTTTCAGAATTTTATATGTATAATAATAAAATCAGCTATAAATAGCAAATTTACGTACATTACTGTATTACGTACGATATACATTTACTGTTGCGGATGGGCTGTCTATTTGATCTAAATCCTACTAAAGTTCATTTATATATTTATTAACAACTCTAATCCTAAATTCGAGAATACGCCCCAAAAAATTTTAAAATAGGTTCAAATTTCAAATCTTTCGATGGTAGTATCATCCAACATTTACTATTATTGTTACTTCCATTTACTAAAGATGTAACCTTCTAGTAACCATTGGAGATGACACAGATCGTGGGGAAGGTGACCCGAATCCGGAATCGCTATTCGAAGACCGATTTGGAAATAAATTACAAAATTAGTTCTAGAAATTTTACGACTCAATGTCAATGGCAATTAGTAATCATAAATTTCATACATCACGTGATTATGGTGGAGTATACAAAAATGCCGTGAATAAAAAATATTAAGTGTACGGTAGCTTTATAATTTATAAAAGCAATGATGTAATATGCTTGTCTAAAAATATAAATAGTACATATCTTAAAATGTACTCCGAGTTCTTTTGAATGTATGCGCCGAGATAATCAGAGATTGCGTTTGGAAAGAAAGAATGTCGTAATATTTTGATACTTTTTTTTTTTTAATCGATCAAATTGGAGATTTCCTCCGACACAGCCATATGAATTCTCCATCAAAGCCACCGTTAATGTTAAATACTGAATGTAATTTTTTTTTTTTAAACCATCAATAGATTAGCATTTATTCTTTATGCTGTAACTATGCATTTTCGCAACGATAAAGATATTTTTAGTTTGGACATATTAAATGCATCAAGCACTTATCGATCGGATCAATATTTTTATATAAACACAGCCACGTATATATACTTTTAGCTGAGACCGAAAGGATTGGACCTTTAAATTATTATGAAATAATTTAATACTATCACGTGATGTTAGCATTTACCCGGAAAATTTGTTTACAGTAGTTGAAGCATTACTGTATTGATTCGGAAATACCTATGCGGTAGTATTTTGATGCTTTTGCTAATAAATTAGATGAATTCCGAAGAATGCAAATGAGTATTTTTGGAATTTGGAAGTTTCTATTCTCAGAGTTTCTGAAGATACTTGTTTCTTTTAGGTACTATACCGTAATAATATATAGTAATATGAGGTTATTATCGATCAAAAGTTATTGTACAATATATATGCGTGTACAATACAGTACGTAGTTCAATGATTAAATCTATAATGACAATTTTGTAAATATTATAATGAATCTTTTGACATACAAATATATATATATATAGAAATATAAAGAATTCATATAATTCAGTGTCTTTATTTGTTGTGCAATATTTATTTCTAAATGTAAAAATCCATCTCCGAAATCTTTTTCATCATTATTGATTGTTAATAATATGCTAAAGTATCCCTCCTTTTAAAGATTTTCCGAGATGGTGATACTTATGATTAGCATCATGTGTGTCAACTTATTGAAATTCATTTTTGTATTCCTAACCAAAATCGTTGTTATACGTATTATCTGTTATGGTAAATATACAAATATATCGATATATATTATTAATTATATATATACTTATGCTATATACGGTATAAATATATATAGCATTTATTTATTGTTATTGTTATCATTTAGAGAAAGTTCTAGGTATCGACCTAGATAATGTATCAAACTAGGAGCCGTGATCTTTTATAAAACTCGTAATTCATAATTCGTAATTTTTAATTTATCGTTATCAGTTATAGTTCCGATATTTTGTTTGTACATTATCGGTCTTTTCTTAAGTTGTACGGACGGCTTCGAGACAGAAAGAAATAAAGGTTTGACGAATGATACTTGAACCATTGGGAAATAATTTAAAACTCCATAAATTATGAGAAGTTGAAGTTTCATCATAGTTGAAGGAAGATTCTAAAATCTCGGATTATAGAAAATTCTCCTGTTTGGATTAAAATAGTAATATATTATTATTTTCCAACTATAGTTATGATGTGAATAGTGCGTTAACAATATGTAGCAAGAAAAGATCAGAAGTTAATCTCTGTTTTCCGGATAGTTTCATTTATATACTGTATAAGCATTTATCATTATTTATATCATTGCAAACGATATTATGCGTGAATATATTATCACGATTAATTTTTAATAAATTGCAGCTCATAAAAATAAATATAGTTGTAATTTTGGCATTACAATAATATCCCGATGCACCAAACAGTTTCTGATTTTCGCTAAATGGTATTATTACTGTATATACGCTTCACAAATCGCGCGTGTTTTTTAATTTAACACAACATAATGATAGTGGAAGTTACCTGATCTAAAAATTTTTTGCCTGATACGCATGCATTACAAATAATTGTTCCAATAATTTAAAATGTGACACGAATCCAATTATGGTCCAAGATCTTTGGATACGTACGTACTGTACGAACGTTTGTACATGCAAGGAATGAATAATTTGAATATAAATACTGTACGTTGATTTTAATTATTACTAAATATATCATTCATAATAATGATGGCTATTACTCATTTCTAGCAATATGAAGACGAAATAGGTCAAAAATACGATAATCTTCACGTGATCTAATATCTAAATGCCCCTGACAAGATTCCGATTATCAAAAAAAAAAAAAAACCTGCTTCTTATTGTTAATTTTAGATGATCTGATCACACGCATCACTTAAAATCTGCTTTCTTTGGTCATTTATACGATGAATAACTTTACATCAATAGGAAAAAAGATTGTTGCGATTGGTCGTAATTTTAGGTATCTTATCTATGTATAATGAATTATAATAAAACTTTAATTAAGCTTCAAATTTAATTTTTTTTTTAAACAAAAGTGATCACGCAAAAGAGCTTGGTAGTACAGTACCCACATCCCCTATCTTTTTCCTTAAACCAACTTCTTCATATTTACTGCAAGGTGGCAGTGTGGAAGTACCGAAAGGTTCCGAAGTTCATCATGAGGGTATTTGTTCCATCTTATAATAAAGGGTTACATTGAATTTTATTTAATGATCTCATTTTGTCATTTTGTAATAGTCGAATTGGGCGTCGTCATTGGAAAGAATAGTCGTGATATTATAGCTAATGAGGCATCTGACTATATTGCTGGCAAGTCTTGGAAACAAGTTTCAGAAATATACAATTTATCAAATTTGCTAATTACATATTAATCTAAAAATTTAAGGTTATGCACTCGGTATTGACATGACAGCTCGTGATCTTCAGGTACGTCATGAAAAAATAGAATTCCCTTTAGTAAATAAAATACTTTCTTTGAAACGTTATTCTTATTATAATAAAAGACTGAAGCAATAAAAAAGGGGCTTCCATGGAGTGCAGCAAAGGGATTTGATACGTTTACCCCTATTGGGTAATGTACTTGCTATTTTCACCCAAATTTATTTCACCAAAAAGTTCTTTTGACTAAATTGTATTCCAATTCAGAGATTTTATTCCGAAAGATTTGATTAAGGATCCTTCAAATGTTAATTTATGGCTCAAGGTTTATTATCATTTCATTTATCTATATGCTTATATATTAAATGACAGAATGAAATTGTTTAATTTTTTTAATAATATAGGTTAATAATCAAATGAAACAAAATGGATCAACAAAAGAAATGGTTTTTAAAATTCCAACATTGATCGAACATGTTAGTTCGATCATGAGACTTGAGAAAGGTGACTTGATACTAACAGGTAATTTCAAAAAAATCCACTACGATATTATTAGGGAACTAACATTTATTACGTAAATATAGCCTCCCCTCAGAGTCTGTCATTTGACAATTACAAAATCTGGGGGGGGAGTTACCGAATTTGTAATTGTCAAATGATTGACTCTGGGGGAGGCTATATTTACGTATACTGCAGTACTGTATATTTATAACATTATTCTTACTATATTATATTTATATTATTATTATTGCGTAATATTACTCTTTTCAATAAAGGCACACCAGCGGGAGTTGGCCCTATTTTTGCCGGTGATGTTATTACTGCTGGATTAAATGTGGGTGATAAAACTTTATCACAGATCGAGTTTCCCGTTGTACAAAGGAATAGATTGAATAAATTGTAAGAAGACTGAGTGATTATATAAATACGTAATATACTACAATATATTAAAAGTAGTTGTTAAATATACTAAATTAAAATTGTTAAGGCTTTTTTTATTTGTTGTAAGGAATATATTCCAAATTAATTTTAAATATTATTAAATTCACATGAAACAATAAATATTTTCAATCCAAACCAATTTAATCAATAATAACCACATTTTACTTGCAAGTTCGAGACTGCAACTTGAATGCAACGCCCTAGACAGATCATTTCGCGACTATCGCGTTACATCCGCGAAAAGAAATTTCGTAACCATTATGAAAGAAACGCGTAAAGTCTTTTGATTCATGCACTCTATGACGATAATATTAGTTCTTAATGGAGTTCTTGATCTACACATTCAAGTGAATATATTGTTCTTGGGAGACATCCGAGAGGCGCGTCTAAACGTTTATTATAAAAGCGTTAAATTTTTTTTCGGTAAATGCCGTGGCTAGCGATTCAAATTTTAATCACTAATTGACGCGAGAACTCTTGATGTTAAAAAATTTTTTACGATTAAAAAAGTCACCGGCTATGCTTTTTATATTTGTGTATATAATATATATATATTTACTATAAATATAAATATATAAATATATATGTTGAAAAATTAAATCAATTTAATCAAAGCCTTTGTAATTTCAAGAAAAAAAAATCACGATCTCTGAGATTATTATTCGAAAGATCAATCTGTGAATCTACTCACAATTCCCGAATCCTAAGCATTCGCCAACGCCAAACCTAAGCAATATTTAATCATGGCTTTGTTAACTAAGCCATTCTTGTAACGATAAGTCAAACTAAGAGATTTCATCAAAAAAAAAAATAAAATAATAATAAATAAATGAATGGCTTACTGACTTGCTTAAATTTTCTTAAATTTCGGTTTATCTAATTAACCTTACGGGTTTCCTCAGTTTATATAATCAATCCCGAATTTTTTAAATTACTTCGCCTTATATTAATTATATGTATGTTTAAAGAAAAAAAAACGCGACTTTACCTTTTTTAAATTTTTAAGGAACAAAGGGGGTTTTTTGTTTATATATATATGTCCATTGTATATAATATAAATGCGCCACAAATCAAATTAAAATCCAGCATATAACGAATTTTTTTTTATTTTGTACGGAAAAAAAGTTATAATATATATTAAATATATATATATTAATATATAGATATATATACGTATATATAACATAATTCTAATCATAAATAAATGTGGCGTAAAAAAAGCGGTTTTTTTAACAATTTATATATATATATATATATACATATATATTTTTTAATTTAATAATGGTTGAAACTATATTTGGTTTTTTTTTTTTTGAAAAAGTCTAGTACAAATTTTGATCATAGGAGGAGGAAGACATTTAAGGAATAAATTATAAGAAAACTAAAAGAACATACAATAATATACAAAAAATTTTATTTAACATAATTAAAAAATCAATTGATTTTAGCGCATATGGTAAGGATTTTTTTGTTATCAAAAATTATTATATAAAATGTTTGACAGCTCGGCGTAATCACTTTTCAGTAATATGAGTGGTCGATGTTAATAATTGTCCATGAGTCATCATATGTGTCGGAAATCCAGGAAAAGGTGTAATTTTGGACGAATATGCCAACATATGTTGTGGTACGTAGGGGTGTGTTTGAAGGGCACGTAAAGCACGTTGTTGTTGTTCTTGCATGGCAGTTTGAGCTCGTTTTCGTGTTAATTTGGCAAAATCTAAATAAAAGATAACTAATTAATAAATATGTAAAAATGATGAAATATACATTATATCAAAACCTACGCAATCCGCAAGCATTACACAAAGTTCTCGCACCATCAGGTCCGCGACGCCATTCAGGAGTTTCCTGTATGTTGCAAGAATGACATCTTCCTGGAGGAGCAGGTCTTTTCTATAAAAGGAAGGCATGAAAGTAATTAAACCTTTAATGTTCATTAAGCTACATATATATATTTTTTAACCTGTACTTACAGTTCTTTTTCGATATTTTGGTCGTGTTGGTGCTACACCTGAAGTAGTCCGTTTGTTCCTGATAAGTTCTATTTCGCTCTAATAAATAAATTTTAATAAATATATATATATATATAAATAGTAGATTTATATAAATAATAAATCAATATAAATAATAAAATAACACAACATACTTACCGGTCCACGTCGATTTACAGTTTCATCTTTTAAAGCGTTTAACACGTAAAGCACTTCAAAAGCTTTATTAATCATTTCCGTGACATGAGCTTCTGTAGGGATACTAGCAGGTTCATTAGGAATTGTTGAAGGCCAATTTAAAGATCTATTTCCTGATTGATTGCGCATGTCGCTGTATTGAGCAGCAAATTGTCCGATCAGCGAGCAATGGTCAATTATCTGCTTAACAATAAAGTTCATCACATGGTTTGCAGATACCAAATATAGCGAGTATAATCGGATGTATGGATGCGTCAAATATCAGAAAAAAAGAAATATGTAACGAATATATGACAAAAATATCAAAAAAAAAAAAGTTAAAAAAGTTAAATAAAGTAAATAATAAAGTTAAAATTTTTTTCTAAAAAAAAAAAAAAAAAAAAAAAGACCTTTTTCAAATCAACTGAAGTTTTTTCGCTGTTCAAGGAAACTGATTGATATACATCTTTTTCAAAAGAGGCGCGATAATGATGATACTCTGAAGGAAAACTACTAGTACCATATTGAATTGATGATGGTTTCTGTGCAGGACTTTGCTTCAATTCATCATTGGCCACTACATTTGTCGGATTTGAAGATGATATCTGTGATTGCGGTCTTAGTGGGATTGGAGGTGACCGGTAACCATTAGAAATGAGAGATGTGTGTTGATTCTCCCATGCTGATGGATTACAAGGTTGTGAGTGCTGAATGCTCGGATGAATGAGTCCATTGTTAGGAGGAAGAGGAGGAGGATGCATGCATGCTACTTGTAAGTGAATATTATTTTCATGAGGATGGTCAACCGTTTCAGACTTTGACTGAACGGAAATCTGTTGGGATGGAGAGGAAGATGATTCACTAGAACGAACATTTAATAATGAATGGACAACTGGTGAATTATGCCCTGGACTTGGTGAGGTTGAGTGTGAAGTCCTTAAACAATGAGTATGTTGTTGCTGTGAAGGTTGTCCTCGTGATAAATTATCGAGAGAAGCTGACGCACGATTTACGATGGAAGGAGAACTAACAGAACTCGCATGGTGCTCAAGCCGAGATTCAGAATTTATCGGATGATGTTTAGAGGTAGAAGATTGTAAATAAGGAGGAGGCATAGTCATTGATGAGTCATCATGATGACTCAAGGATGTTTTCATAGGAACAGATTGTGTCAAAGGACATAAAATCGAAGATATTGGAGGCAAAACACTTTTGCTATTATCCGAATCCGAACAAGAAGTTCTCGTCAACGCATCAGTTCTTGTAAGTGACGCGCTGGAATGAATCGCTTCGTTACCAAAGGGCGGGAAAGAACATATAGAGGAAACATCCATTGTTGTTTCAATATTGATGTGTCTGGTGTTTCTTTGCTTTGATAACTATTTTACAATAAAAGGTCGTAAGTCATAAAATTTAATGTAGATAATTTCATGTTTCAATAAAAAAAAAAACAACCTACTTCTGTATTTATAAAAAAAAAAACAAAAAATATATATAATAATAATAAGACGACTCTAAATAAAGTGAATTCTAAATAAAAAAAAAATAAAAAAAATAAAAAAATAAAAAAGGAAGACTATTATAATATCGCGCGTAAGGTGCGCTTATCAGTTTGTGTCTATTTTATTTAAAGAACAAAGATTCAATGCCACCAAAGAATGACAGAAGACATGGGCGGGAACAAATGGACCAGTGGCAACACTGTTAAATAAAAAGAGAAGTGGCGGGTCAATGATTTATGAGGATAATAGATGATTTTTATTCTCATTAGAGCCAACCAAAAATGACCATTGGGTATATCTCATGCAGTAGAATGTAGTATAAAATGTACAAAATACCATTACGTTAAGGAACTATAGTCTAAAATAAGTTGACAAAAAAGTGAATGCCGGTAAGATGATGAGATCCGAGCAGATTTTGCATAACACACTTTGTGGCTGCTAAATGCAAAGAAAATCCCCTTGCTTGTTTCCCGTCCTTATTATGCCATGATTGTATAACCGCGCAAAAAAAAAAATAATAATAATAATAATTAAAATGCAATGTGGGCTTCGGTGTAGCAGCAAACAACATGCTGAAAGCGTGTTCGGATGTAATGGGTCGGGTGGTCAAGGCTGGATTCTACGTGGCGACGGGTAATTCCGTAGTTGGAACGTTTGTCCGAGCAGAATATCACATACAAACATTTTATCAAAACAAAGATAACCCTTACCACATTATATAATACTAGCACATTATCACATTCCTTCTGAGAAAGGAAAATTAATAGCATTATACTGCTTGCTTTAAGATTCTCCAACTTGTTCAACGTGGTCAATAAAGAACATCGATCAGATCGACATAGCATGGTTATATCCCTCGATTCAAAAATGGTTAACTCAGAACCAAAAGCTTGGCGAATGAAATCTAAGGATTCTGTTCTATCCTTATTTTTTGGGATTCACAAAAATCTTACAAGATTGACCGGCATTTTCATATTCGAATTCAGAAATTAATGAATTTCCAAATATTGACTGACTATACCGGTACTTGTTTTAGACTCCGACACACAATTGTTACAATTTTGATCCTTAATTAGTAATGATTTTGACACAGCATTATTCCGACATTATCATGTGATCACATTAGAATTTTAGCACTACGTACCATAACAATTGTATAAGTATTACTGAAGCATGTAACCTAACACGTAACCAAAAAAGCGAAACCAATGATCGCCCTATGTTTCATCAAAACTCAATTGGATCATCGTTAAGAGTAAACAAACCATAAATGTATACATTTAAATCTATTCTGCAGAGGCTATGAATAAGGCGCACGATGTTTGTCGTCGAACTGTTATGTTTCCTACGGCGATGCTACCATCTGCTGAGCTTACTACAAGCATGATAAGCATAATGTTTCGACTACCGGATATCATTTAATTTGGTAATTATCAATATGTCGTATGTGCCAAGATTACCAATGAAAACATAAACAATTCAAGTCACAAATTTTGGTTGGTCCCAAAGATCGTAAATAATTCGATGTTAGAATATCAATTCGTAAACATAGTGACAAGTTACACTCGAATTACCTTTTCAAATATTTTTAACCCTTCTGACTTCTAGTTGTCACACTGCATCTCTGCATGAGGAAAGTTAAATCCATCTAGAATTATTTATGTTCTTGTGTACATCATATGGAACGATTTTTCTTATTTTGTTGTCCTTAATAATTTTCCAAATCTTGATAACTTAGATTTTCGGCTAAGTCTAGAAAAAAACTGTCGTAAATTTTGGTAACACATTTGGTGGAACTCTTTTCTTCAATCCTATTTTCTCCTATCATACGTTCTTTACTTTCCTGCGGTTAATTGTTCGACATACACTGTTGCACCGCATAACACACAACAAACAAACAATTAACTAACAAACAAATACAAGCCATGCCGTGTCACCATGTGCACAAGAAAAGTCTTAGGTAAAAAAGGATATTTCATAGAAATCATAAATTTATAGATTCTTCATTTTTACGCAAGATATTGTCAAGATCCTCAATAATTGATTCTTATTACTCAGGTTCCATCCAACATCATCTTGTTTGTTTTATCTTAATTGTCACTTGCCCCCTAAGTAACCCTCCTGATTGATGCTTTTTATTAACAGGTTTCTCCGTGCAATATTTGTGCCTACACACGCATTTATCATTGTGACCGCATGGCATTAATTTGTAGTACGATATCGACGTGTGGTGTAATTATTTATCCAAAATCTTACCGTCTGCCAAGTGTGTAAATAACAACAGGTTTTTTGAAACGTTTTTAAATTTTAGCATACATATAAACTCTTAATTTTTGTGTTTACATGAATAACAGTTAAAGCTCATTGACTTATAATTAATTCTGTACCATGTGATCCAGATCTCTGTAAATCTGCAAATCATGTACAGTACTTTGAAAATTTAATTGCCTATTTAGATAAATCAGATAATTATTACATATCTGTAGATCTAAAGAAACCGGTTCGCGAGTTCTTGATTGGTTTCACACTTTGTTTTGATTCAGGTTGATCTTGTATTCATAATGATAAGTGCTTTGTCCCGTAGAATTAGAAGTACGTATTACTTTATCAATGTGTCACTTAAATCTCAAGACGATTAATAATCTAAAGTTTGTATTTGTGGTAATTAGACCTTTAGCTTACTGTACGTATGTACATCATCTTCTGTAGCAAAAATAGGCATCTATAGATTCGATTTTGCTAATTAAACGATAATATTTTCCGTTGTAAATAAGCACAAAACTAGCGATAAGACTTTCTAAATTGGATAGCAAATTGTTAAATTATTAATTTATTTCTGGCGATTAATAATTGATCAAAAAAGGAAAAGCATAGAAAATACAGAAATATGGTTGAAGATATAATCGGTGATTAATCTTAATTTTCAGATAATATATATGGTATAATTAAAAATAAGCAGATTAATAGAACTTTTATGTATCCAAAATCCGCAAAAAAATAGTGGCTTTTAAATATTCTAATATTAATATATTAAAGCAACGGTGCGTTCAATGATCTTTATGAAATATATGCAAATATTAAACTTTAGATAAATCATTTATTGTGTCATCTTCGATAAAGATGTTCTATACATATTGAATACAGGAATTACCGTAAAAGTTCATATACAAGATCCCAAAATAATAGACCCACCATAAATTAGACCCTATGCGAACCACAAAATCTTTATTGATTAAATATGTTTTTTTTCAGATTGTTGGAATGCATATTATAAATACAAAGTGTGTATGCGCTTTAAATTTTTTCTTTTCATGATACCTCTGGGCGAGTACTAGATCCCGAGTCTACTAAAGGGTTTAAAAATTGGTGGAATGAAATAGGCCCGGGTCTTATAATGAATTTTTACGGTAATTATTGTGAGGATGAGCATGAGGATCGACTAAATTGAAGGTCTCACATGGACAAGTAAATAAACTTTCAACATGAGGCGGCCACTCTAAAATGGTTGCTTAATCTCTTTTTCTTTAACATGACTCTTTTTTATTTATCTTGTAATCTTTATCCTTTTTCTTTTATCTTTTATGTTTTTAATTTGTTTCATTTTTTTATTTTTTAATTTATCTTTTATTTTAATAAATCTTTAGTTTTTATTATTGATTTTTTCTTTTATTATTTATTATTTTATTGTTATTTTTTTTTAAAGCAATGCTCTTTATTTTATATATTTTTGTCATTTAGGTTGATAGAATTATTATAAAATTATAATATATAAAAATTATCTACAGGGGGATACCATATTATTGTGGACACTTTTTAAAAATTTATATACAAAGCTAAATAAATATAATATCAAGCTAAAAATTATATAAATGTTTATTAAATCTAAGGCTTTTAAATAAAAAAAATCTTAAAATTCTATGCAATAGTTTTTAAAATAATTAAGGTAACACAAATTTGTATGATGTTACATTTATACGAAATTAGCAATTTTAATATAGCTTACATAATAATTAGAGTTACTAAATATAGTAATATATAAACTTAATTTTTTTATTAAATAAATTAATTTTTTTTAAATAATATTATTTAATAGTGCTCTCCAATGAGCCGGCTCGATGAGCTTTGCTAAAAATTGCTATTGGCTCATTAAGGCTTATTTAGTTTTTATACTATATAATATATAAAAATATCATTATTTGTATAGTTTATCATATAAACTATACAAATAAATGATATTTTTTTTTAAATTCACCAGATATATGATCCGCATCTGGTACGCAGGTGGTGTCTTTTATTTCAAAGTCTTATATTATTACAGGAAATCATAAGTTACACATTTCATTGCTACATACATTACCTGTGAAGCAACCCCTTCAGGTGTTTCCTAACTCTTCCATGTTATGTGCCTGTTTAGTTTATCACTTCTGTAATATCCTGGGTTCCTAATCCCATGGTATAAGACCCTGACTCAGCAGCAGTCCGCAGTTCCTCAACCGGCACAGACTCATTAATTTCTAGTTTCTTCTATATTACAGCTATCATACCCCCCTTATTCTATATTCAGACTCTATATTACCCTTTATTCATCACTTGCTTACCATCATTCCTTATTTTATCTTCATATTATCAGTTTTGGATTATAGACCTACTTCCACAACTGGTTTTGGCTATCAGCCCTACTTTCGCATACTCTCATATTCACCAGTACTTTCTTTTATGGCTGCACTACTTGAGATTACTCGAGGTCCATCTGGATATTCAGGTGCCTCTTATAGGGAACCTAGATTCTTTCTACTTCATAAGGCTTGGTATTACACACCTTGGTTCTTAAT